CCCTCCTGACACCCCAAGTTCTCATATGGGGACATTAAAATTTGATATTTCTGCACCTTATACTCTTTTTATAGTCTTTTATACTTTGTCAAATAACGTCAGCTTTATTGTGTTTTACTTTAAACTAAACTGTCCCCATGTGAGGACAAACAATCCCCAAATAGCTAGGTGAAATAAAAATAAATCAACCCCAAACAAAAGCTCAGGTCTCAGTGGGATGGAGACTTGACTGATACACAGAAGGAAGGTTCAGCTGAGTAATCGAGTGACTTTGATTTTATTGTCTGCATTAATTAAAACTACATCCAATCTAACAGCCATGACATCCTGAAGAGGATGCTGCTTATTATCATTTTAACCCTCATTGCTGCAGTTTTGTGGCTTGTGCCAGTTATACAATCTTCACCTCTGCAGCTTTCCAAAAAATTACAATGAAATTATGTTTTCTTTTTATACTCTTTCCCCCATAAAAACAGCATTTGATGACTTCTTCCTCAATAATGAGTTTTGACATCTCAGTAAAAACCAATAAAGAGATGGTTAGACAATCATTAGAATAGTTTGTGTGTTTTTCCAGGACTAGTTAAATGGGCAGAGACCACTCACACCAACATCTGATTAAAAAAAAACAACAGTTACCTTGCTCTATAAGCAGCCCTGAAAAACCACTCACTTTATAAAAGAGCTCCTTTCATCACTTGTTTTTTGCAAATGCAAACGGATCTCCATTAGGAAGTACAAAAACAGATAAAAAAAAAGATTTTTAAAGAAAAAAAAGTAAATATTCATGTTATAAATATAATTTTACTATAAAATTTACTGAATTGTATGGTTTCGACAAGCCTCACATTTATGACCAAATGGTGCTCTGGTTCCTAATTTCACTAAATGAATCCGCTTATTAATTCAAACCTACAGTAAACTAAAAAGTTACCAAGAATTTTAATCCAAGCGGCTCTTTTACAGTTTAAAAATATCAACATGTACATCAGGTCATTTTCTAACACTTTATATCAGGAGAAATAAATACATCATTTTAATACAATCCCCTGTTCTTCTCACAATTATACAAGACTTGAGTACATTTAAACTAAAACACACAATAACAAATGTTATAATATAACAAGCAGCAACAATCTGAACGTCTTACAAAACTTGAGCTGACAACATTACAAGATTAAAAACAAACTAACACTAACCACGATCGAACTTCCCACTGTGGTCAAACACTCCTACGCCTTGGTGATGTAACCCTCTTTGATTAGGAAGTCATAGATCTTGCGAGTCTTGTTGACGTCGATCTTGATCAGCGCCCGCGCCTGTGCCAGCCGCAGCCCGCCCTGCCGTCTGCACTCGTTAAGTAAAGCTTGTTTTTACTCCAGGTAGGCGCCCGGTACCAGCCGCACCACCTGACACAGCTACAACCACAAAATAAATACAGGGTTTAGAAACGGAGGGAGAGAGTAGCTTTAAAAAACAAACACACCGGTAAATACAGTGAAGTCTTGAGCCAACTCTCATTTCTTTACCTTTTTCTAAGAAAATACGTGAAGTGATTTATGTATTTTTCCAACTTGGGCATGCTTTTATTCCAAAGGCAGTGTATTTGGCATCATTGTCAAGCTGAAAAAATTAAGCCAATCACATGCTTTCAGATAGTATTCCACGATGGATCCAAATCTGACTGTACTTTTCTGTGTTCATAATTCCATCACTTCTGATAAGATTCCCAACACCACTGTCCAAAATGGAGACCCAAACCATGACAGAGGGAAGTCATTAAGAGAGGCCAGGGCCAAGTTGTTGACATAAATGTGTAAGCAGATGACTAATGAGACACGACTTAATGCATATTGACCCTTATTCCATCTGCGTGACCCTATCTTTACCTCTTTCTCCCGCTCGTTGAGCTTCTCTGTTCCCGGCAGTCCGGTCAGGTTGAGAGGTGGGGCGCTCCGCCTACCTGTTGCTGTGGAGCAAAAAATTTCTACAGTCAAATGGAAATTCAGCACCACAATGTTAGCCCACACTTCAGAGAACATAATAGCAGCCTGGCAACATGCAGTTAATTCCTTTGCATCGAAGAGACGGGCGAACAAATATTTACGCTGTGCAAATTGTGTAAATATAGCCATGAGGGAGTGTGCGTCCCATTTGTGCTCTGGAGGTTAGGGAAAGGCAGTTAATTTGAAAGGGAAACAAAAATAGCTAGAAAAATATGCAAGCAGGGGGCTATTTTTGAGCAGATAAATGGAGAAGTTGTTTGCATTAATGTGCCGGGAGCCACGGAGAGGACAGAATACATAAGGAAAGGTGGAAAGAAACGCCGTACCTGACACTGTGATTGTTGTGACAGCTGGAGTGATTCCAGCATCTCTGCAATCATTAAGAAAAGTGTTATTATCTTGGCTGCCATGTTTATATATGTACACACACACACACACACACACACACACATGCAGTGCATCCCTGGGCTTTTGTTCACTACTCTCACTCCTGGATCATCAACCAGAAAAGATGAATCATAGCATTCAAGGTTTTTTTTAAAAGGTAGAATAATTGGAAGAACTTGGATAACATCCAAAGAAAAGGATGAAAACAAGAGGAGCAGCGACCCATTAAAAGGACTAAAAATACAGCAGAGACTGTGGTGTAAGCGAGATGCTCTATAATACAGCTCGATTCATCTCAGCATGACCGGTGCTGGGAGTGATGACAGAGGTCAGCGTCTCCGGAGAGCGCAGCTTCACCAGCCCTTCTATTACACGCTGGGCTACGAGCGGGGAGTTTAGAGACTTACATTGCAGCCTGTTTGCTGAGCCACTGCTGACAGGCTCTGCCATCCTGGATGTACTGCAGCACGTCACACAGCATGGTCCTCTTCCTCCGCTCGTCTTCACGCATTCGCTTCACCCGCTCGTACACCTTGGCACCTATTGC